TAAGAGGGAAAAAGTAAACACTTCCCCGCCCTAATCCTACCTGCTTCCCCCTCCCTGATTTCTCCCCCAAACATTCCGCCTTCCACACCCTAAAGCCCCCATATATAAAGTCCCAGCTCACAACCCGTGGGCGGACATCTTTCCCTTCACGGACATCTTTCCCTGACATCTTTCCCTTCCCTGACATCCTTCCCTTCCCTTCCCTTCCCTTCCCTTACCTTCCCTTCCCTTCCCCTCCCTTCCCTTCCCTTCCCTTCCATCTTTCCCTTCGCTGACATCTTTCCCTTCCCAGAGGGAAAGGTGCCCCATGCGAAATAAATCTGTATCCGGCTGAGAATTCCATCTGTGCCTCGGTACCTCATCCATCTGCTCGTGCTCTCCACCACTGGCTCGCTCTCTCCCAACTTCTACCTATCAACCCCCACTCCCCAGGGGGAAAAAAAGGGTCAAGAACCAAAAATCAATAAAAAAATTTTTATGATTACAGAAATGCCTAACTTCATCCTCTTTGACCACCAAAACGAATGAATAAAAACAAGTTTCTACATGTCCAAGGGCTCAATGGGTCATTACATAAATTCACATGTTAAAAATGGAGACCTGGAAGCAGAGTATGATGGAACAAAAGAGTAGTACAGCTCTTTAAAAAATATAGTGGGAGAAAAAGTTCTTGGATTATATAAGCTATTGCTAACAGTGAACATTTTCTTATTTGATTCATTGACATTTCCGCATAGCAAGGGATATCTAAGAATAGGTTGCAGTCTTAAGTCTTAGAAAATAAAGAGAAGCATTATTTTAAAAGACAAAATTAAATGGTGTGTGAACAGTATACTTTTCACCCCAGTAGTTATTATCATTAAACATTTAGCTTTCTATCCTGCTTAAATAATACAAGAAAAAAATATTTAAGGTTTTTACGCTACCTTTTTCTGTGCTCCCATTTATTTTAGGTAAGAGGTCATCAACTTGTATCCCTAGGATTAAGACAGGATATCATTGCCTGATCAAAGAAAGTATTAACTTTAAAACTGGTTTCAAGTGTAACCATGGCATTTCATAGTCCTATCACACTGACTCTGTAGAGAACACTGTAAGAAGGGTCCACATTGCCATTCTCTATTAATTCAGGCTTAGTGACCTGCAAATGAACCTGAAAAGAAAAAGAATCCTACTACTATTCATGGGTTTGAGAAAAACCTCAGATGCAGAAATTTCAGTCTTAGGCACTAAACAATGCGCCCACTGGTGGCAATCCTGCATCTTTTAAAAGGCAACTTCCTAAAAGTGCAGCATTTACTACCTTTTGTAAAATTTCCCTTGAACAAAAAATGTGAGATGTAAACAAGGTCAAAAGCTTAATGAAAATTCCAGCTTTAAATAAGAAACTTGGGTGACACCTACCTAAGCTGCTGCATTTTTTAAGAGTTTTCTCCTGAAGATGTTCTAACCGTACTGCAAATAAAAGTCCAAGAAAAAGATATTTCACAGGTCTGATGATGTCCTCGTGGTGGAACTGGGACCTTTAGCATTTATCTTTCTGATGAGCTGGCTCTACTGGGTTTCTCTCTTCCTCATGGATGTCACACATTCTCTGGGACTCTTTGGCCTTTCGGTGACTTTATGATGAGATGCCTTCAGTCTCAGCTTCCTTTTCTGTTGCTGTGATAAAATACTCCAAAAAAAGGAACTTAAGAAAGACAGGATTTATTTGGCTCACAATTCCAGGTTACAGTCCATCATTGTGAAGTTGAGGTGGCAGGACTTGAAGCAACTGGTCATTTTACATCCATAGTCAAGAGCAGAAAGCAGTGACCTAATTGCTCATTGACCTAATGCATGTATTCTTCTGCTCGTTTCTAAAATATAATTTCTACTTCTTCTTTGAGAATTTCATACCGGCATGCAATGTATTTTGATCATATCCACCCCCTAGTTCCACCTTCCAACTTCCCCCAGACTCCCCAGTGTGCCTCCCTCCAAACTTAATGTGCTTTTCTTAAATTTTTCAATTTAGTCCAGGACCCCAAGTCCAGGGAGTGGTGCCACAATGGGGGAGTGGAGTCCTCCCTCATCCATAACTGTAGTTAAGATAATCCTCTGAGGTGATTGTATCCCAGTGGTAATTAAATCTAGCCGTCACACCCTGCTGCCCTGATCGTACATGGCCTCTCATGCTGGACAGCAGGCATTACTGTATGTAAGTACAGGGGATAGAGTCACATGAGTTTTACTTAAAATTTTCTAAAAATTTACATGTATTTGTGTGAATGAGTGCTTTGCTGTATGTATGTAAATGCACTGTGTGCATGCAATGCCCGTGAATGCCAGAAGAGAGTATTGGTTCTTCTGAAACTGGAGTTACAGACAGTTGTTAGATACTATATGGATGCTGGGAATTGCACCAGGGCCTTCTGGAAGAGTAGCAAGTGCTCTTAACTGCTGCACCATCTCTAGCTCCAGGTTGCAATTTGGGGAGGGGGGGTGTAGATGAGGAAAAGCTTTTTTTTAATTTATTTTTTATTTAATAACCACATGATTAGAAGAAGCATTTCATTAAAGCTTTAACATATTCAGTAACACACTCCAGAGCAAGAGTACACCTCTTTCACAAGTGGCTGTAAGTTTCTAGCCCACAGCTGAATAAATACAGTTATACAATATTGAACTCAGTATAAGCCCTGTAAGACAAAATTTAATGAGTTTTTAACCTTTAAAAAAGATCTCCATTTCATTTTAGAATATATTGTTCCTTGCAGAAAGACTTGTTGTTTTTGCTACTAACACTGAGATGTTGGCGCATGCATCTCTAATCTGTATGTATCTATTACTAGTCATAAATGGTTGCACTTGGATCCTTGGCGCCTGTCTATGTCTATAAAGTCATCTGGTAGATTTCAATGCTACTGTTTATCACCTCTACAAATTAGCATGACATAAATTTCCATGCTTCCTCCTCAAATATAATACATTTTTAAAAATTTGTTGATTTGTGTGTGTGTGTGTATCACACAGAACATCCCAAACCATCTTAATCAACTATACGCCCACTTCCCAGATAGCACCCTCCCACAGCCTCCCTCCCCTGACTAGAGCCCTTATACTCTGATATCCCTGCTACTGTCTGCCGTGTTGTCGGCACCTCCAGTGATCCCCCACTGCTTGTCCATCTGATGAATCTAGTCAGCCTATCTGGAGGTCTTTGTTTTAGGAGGGTCAGCTGTTCCTCATCTAGCAGCAATCAGTTGTCAATATTCCTTTAAATAAGATTGGGGTCTCTTGTTCATTTTCCCTGTTCTATGCTGCATTACTATCTGGGAGTCCCTTTGGCCACCCTGGCCAACAACTCAAAAGAAGGTATCTCCTATCTGGCATTGTTGCTTGTTATGTAGCCTTTAGCTATGCATATGGACTCTTAAAAAATTATATTGGCCCCTTTAATCCTTTTGGGTGTTTAAGGCCATACTGTTGGCCCAGATAAACCAATTTATTTTTACTCTTAAGGTCGTTTGAGGATCTGTTCCTCAGGGGTCACATGGGCTTGGGAGGAGCCCCTGGCTCCATTCTTTTACCAGTTCTGCCTATCTGAAGATAAGTCCAAGGCCCTGCTAGACCATGGTTGGCTTCGCTTGGAAGCATGGAGGAAATGATTCCTCTGTGTTGACCCTCCTCTTTCTAAACTGGACACTGGTTCAAGTCCATCTGGTGGGATCTCCTCGGCCTCCTTGATCAAGAGGGCAGGTGACCCACCACAGTTACAGGACATTTTGAGAGAGGCTTATAGTCTCCTGGAATTAGTCAACCTAGGAGGGCAAGGAGCAAAAACTGTCCTTTATGTCCCTCTGACCAAATTAGTATAGGCCTCAAAGTATATCTGTTAAACATCCAAGAACGTTAGTTCCACCAGTCTGGTACTTTTAATTATTGTGTGTCATGTAGATAAATCTTGGGCAAAGACTGATTGTTCTCAGATAAATCTTACCTAACATATATTTCTTGATTTGCTATGTATAATTTGTCAGTCAGTTGTTGGAGTAATATGGTTCCCTCTGGTTTTTAAAACTAGCTAGGCATTATTTATCTTTTGCATTGTCTAACCTCTCCATCATGGTTTTCCCACTTAAGGTGCCCCCATTTCCCCCCTTTCTCCCTTACTAATACCCTTCTCCTATGGTCCTACCTCTCTTGAGCTCCTTCTTTCC